TAATTTTCATTAATCTCAGACACTACAGGAAATTTAGCTGTTACCGGTGGATTTGACCGGCTGTTAGTGGACCGTCGGTATCGTGGTTAGTGGACCGCCGGTATCACCGGCAGTTTTGCTGGCGGTTTAGCCGCCAGGTATTACCGGTGACACACCAGCAGTTATCTTAGTTAAGGCTGCCGGAACTAGCGGCGGTTATCAAACCGCCGGTCAAACCGCCGGCGGTTAAAATGTCCGGCGGTTTAACGACAGCTTATACCACCGGTGATAAGTGATTTCTTTACCGGCGGTATTGACCGCCGGAATGCCGCCGATTTAAGCCCTAAAATGAACAGGTCCGCGCCTCCCAGATCATTTTTATGTTTGCGTTCTCTCACTTCGGCCGACCTCTGCCTTCGCCTCCGCACGCCTCACACTCGATAGGACGATCTCTCTCCGGCCGCCGACCCCATATCGGCCTTTCCTCGAAGCCTCATTGCCTTGCCATCGTCGATGTCACATCGGCCGTACGCGTTCGTGTTCGTGGGAGTTGAAGGATAACCATGAATGATTTTCTGTGATTATTTGTTCTCACTAGACATTTGTAAGAGTTTGTATCACAAAATTAGGTATTCAACATAGAAAAGTAATTGTGAATCTCCAAAATAGGTATTCAACTTAGATTGAATGTTGTTCTATGGGCTTACATGATTAAACTTTTATCTTAAAGATGTTAAGGAGAAGAGACACATATATTTGTATGAACTTGAGAATTTAGATTGGATGCCTATGAAAATTTAAGATTTGTAATGAATAAAGTAAGAACTTGCATGATTGTAGGATCATTAAGAAATAATTTTCACACAATTAGGATGTATTATTTTATAACCCTAAACTAAGATTAGTTTTTACGACGTTGAAGTCTTGGTGGCCCGGTCCATTCACTATCATTAAAGTATAACCTTATAAAGTTATTAAAATTTGGACAAAAAAATACCCATTCCTCTAAATTTAATAATTATATACTTAAGCCTTATTTGGAAGCGGATATATATAATGTTAAGAGAGTTTTTATTTGCATATTTTTCATTTTTGCAACTTATATTATTTTGATGATTATAAATATTATTGTTTTATGTATAAATATCTTCTAACACCTTTTGGAAAATTTGTTTTTGCTCTAGTGTGTTCTAACATTTCAGGAAAATCAACTCCAAACTATGAAGACTTCAAATCAAATTCAGCATCCAATCATTTGTAAATTAAAAGCTTTAAAAATATTTTTGAATTGAGAGGGAGTGATTGATTGAGTGAATATTCACAACACACATATGGGGATATAACTTTTGTGAACTGATCATACGGGACTAACATAGTTCGTACGGAATGATCATGTCAATTGACCCTCAGAAGAGCAATGGATCGAACAGGCAGTGAGAAAAATTTTTTAAGTCCTAATCGTCCAGGATGAATTTAATATTCATCCCGGGACGAACGCCTCTGGATTCTCACGTTGCACTATTCGTCCAGAAGAAATTTACCTTTCGTCTCTAGACGAAACTCTCTGTTTAAAATCGTACAGGACGAAATTAAACCTTCGTCTCTGGACAAAACTCTCTGTATAAAATCATCCAAGATGAAATTTGTTCATCCTAGGACGAACCAAACCGACTTATCACAGTTGGTTACGTCCTGTAGGGATTTGAAAACTGACCTATGAAATAACCGTTTCGTATAGGACGAACCTAGTTCGTACAGGATGATGATCGTGTACGAACATAGTTTGTACCAATATACTTTAGGATCATTTCTGACACTTTAAGTAAAATCGTCCGGGATGATCCACTGCGTACAGAATTGAAAATTTGAAGTTTTTGGGCAGTTTTTCTTATCTTTCCTATATATAATCCATATTAGACTGCCACCAAATATTTTTTGGTCATTGATCTTCATGCCTATTGAAAGAAGACTCAAGGAGAGAGTAAGAGAGAGCATTCAAAGAAGGATTTCTTCCATAGGAGCGTGAAGGCTTTGCTTGGTGTTCAAAGGTAAGATTTCCTACTTGTGATTTAAGATTACTTCACTCTTTTCTTTCTTCCTTCTAGATTTCTTGTGAGGAGATCAGTCAAGGAGATCGGTTTCTCTACCCACACTAGGATAGTGTGAAAGGATGAATGGTTCTCTGCCCACACTAGGAGAGTGTGAAAGGACGAAGGGTTCTCTGCCCACACTAGGAGAGTGTGAAAGGATGAAGGGTTCTCTGCCCACACTAGGAGAGTGTGAAAGGACGGTTGGTTCTCTGCCAACACTAGGGATAGTGTAAAAGAATGACGGTTCTCTACCGCACCGAGTAGTGATGGAAAGAGTGTTTATAAAGACTTCTCCGCCTTGCTGTGGGTGCAAAAGGAGAGACACTATTGGTATTAGTGCAATACTCGAGGGTGCCTCTGGGGAGTGAATGTAGGTCTGATTTAGACCGAACCACTATAAATCTTGTGTCGTTTATTTTTTTACTATTTTTTTTATTTTCCTCATTTTACTGTTTAAAAAGTTGTGGTTGAAAAACTTTTTTATAAAAATTCACTAAAGTTATTTTTAGTTCAACTCATCCAAAAGAGGAATAATTTTTAACTACCAATTCACCCCCCCTCTTGAAAGCCATGGGACATTAACTTAGGTTTAACAACCTATTCACTAGACTCAACATATATTGATCTTGTAGTATGTTAACATTAGCTCATCTTGAAGAGTACTTAACAAAGTCTAGCTAAAGACTATAATTTAGCTCTTCATGGGAGGTAATCCAAAGGATTATATCTATGTACTACATTTTATATATAAGAATGTGTATTTAGTATCTTGCTTGTATTCACTTTGTTGTATTTGAAATCAAGATGCCAAATGAAAAATCTAGTTGCCAGATGAAAAATATATAGTTAGACAAGTCATATCACTCTATTGACAGTTAAGCACCACAGTGATTGATAGTCATGTTAGGTGGCTAGAGCAATTCAAGGAGTATAGCTATAACACCATTGTGATGCTATAGTTAGACAAGTCTTAAGCTTTTTTGTGGGGTGGAAAGAAAACAACTTATTGAGAGCACTTGAATTTCTTTAGAGGGTTCAAAAAAGGATCAACATGGTGATTATAGGTATTTTGTGGGGTGAAAAGACTTTCAACTCATATTAAAGCATTTTATGTTGGTTGTCAACTACCTAACACAACCCTCCATTTTTTTCATCAAGGACTTAGGACCTCGTAACAACAATGGGTCCATACACCAATACATTTAGCCTAAGGGCGATAAGTAAGTTTAGTTTATGTTATTAAGTTGTTTGTATTTTGATATATTACATGTTATTGTCAAAAAAAATAACCTGCAGCTTCAATCCTTCAAGGCCACCTATACATATGATCTGGGATATTATATAGAATAAACATGATGCTCCTTACTTATCCTGGAAGAAGATCTCAAAGCAGATTAGAGATATGTGATTTGGAGAATTTCAAGTATACTTTTTTGGTATGATTTCAAATATGTGATTTAATTTGTACTAATCTTTTTGGTATTGCCTAAATTTTTACATAAAGAATTTAGGTGGTTGCCTGAGTATAGCATGGATATTAGAAAGTCTGGGCAGCATCCTAATTGGATTGGAGAGGGCGTTTGAGCTGATTTGAGTAGTGCTTGGGCGACCCCTGATTTTATAAAAATGAGAGAGCAGAATAAACAGAACAGAGCCTCTGACTGTGGTGGTTTAGGAAGCTCTCTTCATACTGGTGGATCGGTACCTCATACGGAACATAGGCGGTGACTGGTAAGAGTTTTAAATTAGTTTATTAAATATATTTATGTTATTATAACTATATCTTAAATTTTCAAAGAGAGTATCTTGATCGGGAGCCAACACCACTGGAGTTGCATACAAGAACTCATCAACATCAAGCTGATCATCAGTGGGTAGATGAAAAGGCTAAGAAGGCTCATGTGAGTAAATTTTTTTAGAAAATTGGAATAAAAATTTATTTTAATTAAACTAATTGTAATATCAATTTACAATTTATTTTATGGCTTTATTCTCACAGGATGATTTTGTGCGAGCTCGAGAAAGCCGCCATTCCACTGGCGAGGGATCATCTTTAGGATCAGCCCACACTTACGAGTATCATACTTGGTCAAATGTTGTTGGTGGAAGACAGAGGGGGAGGATATATGGCTTAGGTTCACAGGGCTATGCTTATGAGGGCAGTTCATCCACCTCAGCATTTTATGATCCAAGTACTGGAGCTGAAGAAACTGTGAATTAGAGGGTTGCAGCATTGACTAGAGAGAATGAAGAAATGAGAAGGGTTCAAAATGAAATGCAAGCAGAGCTGCAATCCTACAGAGTTGAAAATTAGAGGAAGCAAGAGGAAGAGCAGCGACGAACATCTCGAGACAGCGAGGATATATCTGAGGAGTACAACTTTTTTATGTTTACTGTGACTTTGTGAATTTGTGAAATTCTGAACTTGTTAACTTATGTTTTATGGTTGAACATATTAATTTTGTTTACATTTAATATTTTGTTTTATTGTGCTTATGTATATAGTTGTGATAGTTAATTGAATATAACGACGTGTTGCCCAAATCTTGTTATATATTACTTTTTGTGCAGGTTTAGAATTTAGGGAACCTCCCTCATATAGATGGGAGGCTGTCAATTTTTTTTTTCAGGTGCTATAGGTTTCCGGCGGCTAACCGGCGGTTCAGCCGCTGGAAACGACGATACCGGACGGCTGATTGACGCCACTGGTAACTTCGTTAAACTACCGGTATTATACCGGCGGTTATCTACTACACCCTGCGGTTATCCGGTGAAAGCCCGGCGGTCTAGATCGCCGGTACGACCGTCGGGAACCGCCAGTGTAGTACCGGCAATTTACAGACGCGTGCTGGCGGTTTATCTAATGCACGCCGGCCGCAGGAACCGCTGGCAAGCCGTCGTTGAAGGGATCGCTGATAAGCCGTCGGTCACATGACAGGCGACGCAACGGATGGAACATCGCCAGTACAAAGCAAGGTAATAAACGGCGGTATAAGCCGCCGGAAGACCGACGGGAACCAAAACCGCAAGTAAAAACCGCCGACAAATTATTTTCTACGCCATTTTTTCCGGCGATTGGATAACTGCCGAAAAGCCGCCGTTGATTTTTAAAACCGCCGGTGTTACCACCCAAATCACCGGAAAAAGCCGCTGGTTTTGGGTGATTTTCCTGTAGTAAGAATCTAAATTAATAAGTAAGTTAGTATCTGGGGCGACTAAAGGAACATCCGTAGAGTTTTGTAACATAGAGTCAATAGAAACATAAATATTAGGGAGTTTCTCACTTCCATTGCACAAAGTCTTACCTTCCAAATTATTCTCCAAATCACCTATGTTTTCTGGCACAACAGAGCTAGTCGCAGCATCCACCTAGTTTTCAATAATAGCATTTGGCACCACTTTATCCAGCACATTATGAGAAATAGAATTAACAGGAGAATCAACCTTCTCAACCGAATGTTTAGTAGATTTTATAAGCTCAGGATGTAATTTAAAGCAATCGGAAATTGCATGGCCATGAATCTTACAATGAGAACAAAAATTCGACACCTTCTCAAACTCAACTTTTTGCAAATAACCAAAAGCCTTTGATCCCACCCAAACTTCTTTAGGATGTTTCTTAGATATATCAACTTTCACCAAGACCCAAGCCACAGACGGACGGGTCCTGGATGCAGTTGCTTGGTCGGTTGCAAAGGCCTCCCAAAAATAGATCCAAACTCATGCAAGACTTGAGGGTTAAAAAAATGTAATCTAAAATTCGGAAAGGAAATCCAGATCGGAACTATGGGGGACTCTTCATGCACATCGAAAAAAGGCGTCCATTTTAAAATTCTCATTTGACAGTTACTGATAAAATAATATCTCATTTGACTCTTCATGCATAAATTATTATCATCATATGACAACTAAATTTCCTTAAAACCATCTATTTCCTTGATTATCATTTTGCATGACATCACTTTCTAATTTGAGCAAATATATTTGCCCAATATAACAAATTAAAGTGCCCAACACTTCATTGTAAGCATGGAATTAAAAAGAAGAAAAAGACAAACTTTATTATATACACTAAAGAAACGATATAGAATGAAAACTAACTTAATATCATCCAAAAACTTGAGCAATAAAAATTAATCTTGACACAAAGCTGAGTTTGAAGGGAATTCATATCCATGATACGATGCCAACAATAGTTCTTTTTTTTTTCTTTGACAAAAGTCTTCGTAAAGTTGAGAGGCAATAAAATAGATCCAAGAGACTCGGCACATCCATTAATGAAATGGAAAACAGATCTCTAACAAGAATTAAAAAAGAACCAATTTATTTAGAGACTGAAATATTATTAAGCAAATTGATATTCTTGGTTATGCAAGTTACCTATAAATATGAGCATAACCCCTAAGAGATGAAGTATTGATAAATATTTTTATTCTACATTGCATAGATATATTAAATGGTACTTATCATATATTGTGTAGATAAAACATCCAACTTTTGTTAACATGGGTTGAATTTGCTTAGGCTTTATTTGAGAATGTTTTCTTACTGCTTTCAACTCAAGTTTAAATGCTACCTCTGGTAGAAACCCTACTTTCAGATTCAAAAGCATGGTTTTCGATGACAAACAGCCTGCCCTAGTAAAAAAAGCTATGAAATAATTAAGGAAATACTCACATTTAAATGAAGTTTATAGGAATCGGCCGCTGGGAGATTTTTTGGTGAAGAAGCTATTTGTAAAAGTGTTTTCTTCGTTTGATCTGTATTTTAATAGATATATTGCTCAGTATTATAATTATCATGTTAGTATTTTTATAACTAATGTTGAGCAAGTTCTTGCCAAAAAATCATGAAATTATTTTGGTTGCGGTCATTAAAAAAAAAAAACTTTCTTCATTATTATTATCAGGTTTTTGTTGCAGAATGGTTTTGATATTGATCAATGAGGAGCAGGTTGTTCATATAATTATGTGATTATGTTTGAATTGTGCTACATTACTTATAGAAAACATTATTTTTCAACAGAAAACACAAAAAAATAATTTTATCAGGAGTTCAAATTCATCAAACTTCGGATGAATGTTTGAAACAGGTGCTTTTGATAAATTTAGTAAGTGTTTAATTCCACGAGCTCTTGCTTTCACAGATGTCTAACTCAAAAGCATTTTATGTGCAAACAATGTGTAGAGAGAGAGATAGAGAGGGAGAGAGAGGCAGCGAGAGAGAGAGAGAGAGTATTAGTGTATGCAGAACAAAAAACAGCAAGTGTCACAGAAAGAAAACAATTAAAGCCATCAATATTCAAACCCAGCAAGGATTTAAAGAGGATAAGCTCTGAAAATTTAGTGATTTTCCTATGTAATAATAAACACATATAATGAATAAATAAATACCTGATCATATATAACGTTGGGAGATCTATCTGCACTTAGCAATCAACCGTATAGATTTTTATGATGAACTACAATCATATCCATGTTGAATGACACCCAGAGTTCCCCCAAACACTTCAGTAGAGCTATAAAGCTGCTTCACCTACGTATGGGAAGCAAAAAACCCCTAATGAAGTGCCTGAGGGAACTCCAGTTGACAGCCAACGACTAAATTGCAATATCTGAAATATTCATAAAGCTGCTTCACCACGCAGTCATATATAGATATGTATATATACCGAATTAAGCTAAGTGGTACCTAGAGTTCCCCCAAACACTTCAGTGTAGATTCTATAAACAGGTAGAAGAATTAACTTCAAAATTTTGTATATTTATGAACACAATGAAGTGCTTAAGGGAACTCCAGAGAAAACTCAACCATGGAAATGTCTCTTTAATTTTTCTTGGAGTAATTCTATGTTGTCTTTCAACTTTATATAGACAATCGTGACTGAGAATGTGTAGAAGATCTGAAGTATTTGCTTTACTAATGCAGTGAACTTGGCCATGTTTTAGGGCGAGGTGAGGAAGAGGAAAACCTCTACTTTGTGATATGAGAAATCCTTTCCTCACCCCTACATGCACTTTTGTCTTTTACTTACTCTCTAGTATTGATGTGTCATTATGAAACTAGATCTTAAACACTAAATCTTATCATGAAGTCAGTCCTAGGTTAATATTCATCACCACATTCCTTTCACTGTTTCATGCTACCATGTACTATTGACATTAACATTTTTTTTTTTCCTGGAGATTAGCGGCCTAAACATTTTATTGATATGAAATTCGTAGTTGTGGATAGCAAATATAAGTACAAAGCTATGTAATTAATTTTTTTAAGTATGCGTAGATATGTATTATTATGAACTTGTTGCGATAAAAAAGGACCAACATTGTATTCTTCTAATCAACACTTAGAGCAATGCTCAAAACTTACAACTAATATTTCCTCCTACTTAGACGAGAATAATTCTTTTGAGAGATGTTATATTCATTCAATTAAATCCATACATATTTTTATGCAATATCTTCACATGTATTATTAGAAAAATTCGTTAGTCGATTGTCAAATATGTTCAAAATTTTATGTCACATTAGACGAGAATAGTTCTTTAGCATCTAATCTGGCAATAAGAAAAATGCACTAGTGTGTGAACTAAATGTATGATATAATGAAAATATTCCATTAATTGTTGTTACAAAAAAGAATGCACTTGCACAATCTTCCTAACTTATAACTACTTTATTAATTAGAATTAGTTATATCTTCATTGTTTAGAGATTATGAGAAATACCGAGAGAAGCAAAACTAGGATGTCAAATTAAGCTTGTTTAAGCAGTAATTGAGTTTATACAATATAAACTAAACTAGATTCTATGGTAGCAGAGAAAGGAGTTATATTGAAACAGTATAAAAAGATGCCAAATTAAAGGTGGTAGTGACCACTGAAGAGGTGATTCCATGCCCTTCAAAAGAAAAAAAAAAAAACTGACCAGGTTCAATGTATGTGGCTAATTAGTTAGCTAGTGTCATGAAGGGAGAGAACAAGACGAAAGATTTTTGAACTTGACCTCTATTCTGTCATGGTGTTTGCCATTGTGACTACTTATGTCAAGAAGCCTTGAATGGCTAAGAATGCTTGAGTAGTGCTTATTGCTAGATTATATACTAATTATAGGGTAACTAATTAATTAAGGACCTTACGATGGGCAATTCATTTTAAGCTAATTAGCTTAGAGGTCTTTCTGTCATCTATTCACACAACCACTAGTACTAATCTAACATCTATGAAAAAATAAAATAAATAAATAAATAATAAAAAATAGAAAGAAAAAAAAAACATAATTTTTTTAAAAAAATGGAATAATGCCTAATATTTAGACTATATAGTCACCTAAGGTACGTAGTCCAAATTCTCAAATACCATTCCTCAATCATGATTAATAGAAAAATTGTGGTAGTCTAAACAGGTAAGGCTGCAAACGAATCGAGCTTTGTATGTGAATGTTCATGTTCGAGTTAATATATTATCAGCTTGTTCAAGCTTGGTTCGTGTTTGATTTAAGCTTTATTGTTTGTGTTCATATTTGGTTTGTTCAAATTAATGAGTGTTCATGTTTGATTCATTTAGTGCTTATCGTGCTTTAAACAAATAAACCTTAATGAGCTATAAAGAAGCTATATTTCTAGATATTCTTTAACATAACAAATGAGTTTATCAAGCCTCCTAACAAATAATTACATTGAATATGTTTGTGAACATATTTAGTAATTTTTTTTAACTATCAAAGAAGTATGTTGACGAACATATCTAACAAGTATTATTGAGCTATCAAAAGAGCAAGTTCATGAACATATATAACAAATTTTTTTGAGCTACCAAATGAGCTCGTTCATGAACAATTGATCTATAATTCATCTTATATTTTGATTAGCATATATTATAATAGTTAATTAATTTACATTATATTATTTAACAAAAATTATGTATTTGTAATAAATATAAAATATTTATATAATATATAATTATCAATTTTATAATCAAATATTAATTGAGATTTTAACGAGCTTGTTAACGAGTTCTGAATCGAACACGAATCGAACTTCTTATCAAGCTTATTGTCGAGCTTGTTCACGAGCTTCAAATGATGTTGTTCATAAACATAAATGAGCTGAAGACATTAGTGTTCAAACTTGTTTATTTAAGGAATGAGTATTTAAAATATTATTCAAGTTTGTTTGTTTAGTTAATTAAATGATGATCACAAACAACTCAACTTGAATTCTATGTAATGCATCGGCGTTTCACCAGCACGAAATACCCTAAGCGCCGCCTCTGGTGATTTTAGGGTTCCTTCCTGCCTCTGTTTCTTTCTCATTTTTCGTCCATCTCCTAGCAAGCGATCCTTGATTTTTTTACTGCTTTGGTTTCCTAGTGCTCTTCTTTTCGTCTTGCCCTGTTTGGGCTTGACGTTCTCGATGGGGGATCCGTCATCGACGGCTTGAGGTATTATTACCTCTAATGCTCATAATCGGAACAAAGGCTTTTTTGCTTGGAAGCGGGGGCTTCTTCTCCACCAAAGTCTCATTCTTTTAAGGAAGTTCTTGCTGGTGCAAGCGCAGGTGATACCCTTCCTTCGTTAACCCAGTCTACTTTTAATGGAGTGCCGGCTATTTTGCTTTCGGATGAAGAAGTTTTAAAACTTGCTTCCCCTTTTCAATTTACTCGTGGGTAAATTCGGTCTTCGTAGACCAAATCTGGACTCCATCCGTGCTTTCTTTGGTAGTTTAGAACTTTCGGGATTTTACTCTGTAGGTCTTTTGGATTCTAAGCATGTAGTGATTCAACTCTCAAATGATCTTGACTATAGCTGTGTTTTTGCGTGTAGATCATATTTTATATTGAACTGTCAAATGCGGGTTTTGAAATTTACTCCATTATTTTATGTGAGGGAAGAATCCCCTATAGTGCCTATATGGATATCTTTTCATAATATTATACTTCATTTCTTTAATGCTAAAGTTCTTTTTGCACTTGGCTCTGTTTTTGGCCGTCCCTTGCAAACTGACCATGCCACAGCTTCAAGAACCAGACCTTCTGTGGCGAGGATCTTAGTTGAAGTGGATATTACTAAGAAACATGCTAAGGAGATTTGGATTGGTTCTAAAGCATTCGGTTACCATCAAAAAGTTGAATTTGAAAAAGTGCCAGACTTCTGTAATCACTGTAAAACACATGGGTATGCGGCGGCTGAATGATTTAAACTCCATCCAAACCTTAAGAAAAATTCAAGCAACTCGGTGGGGCAAAAGATGGATAAAACTTTAGATGTTGGTGACATGATCACGGAAAATCCCAATCGGTTGGATCAGAAGGAACCCATAACCCCACCAGAGCTGGCTCGAAATATTATTTCTTCTGAGAACCAATCACCACATGAAATGGCTGTGACCCATTCCACACCTGTTGTGCCTGCTTTACCCGAAACTAGAACAAAAACCGTTAAGGTTCTTACAGGTAATGACATTCCTAAAGAGATGGATGTGAATGATTGCTCCAATGGCATAGCTGATAAGTGCAACAGTACGAACAATAATGATATTGGTAATGATTGTCCTAACATTTTTATTTCCATTGATTCGATGTTACATAATAAAGATAACATTGTTGTAGGTGTTGAAAATGAATCGGTGGAGGAGTGTGAAGAAGGGGAAATTGTGGGTGATATTGTTGTTTGTACCTCTCCCATTCAGGTTGGCAACATAATTTTGCCCGCATCACTCTCGGTTCTTGGTGATAGTGGCTCTAAACAGAGTATTGAGGAAGATTATACTAAGGTTAGCAAAAAGAAAAAGAAAAATGGTAAAATTCGTCTTCCTGACACACGTCGTTCTACTAGAGCTCAAACTTCTTCTAAAATTTCTAATGATTAATGCACTTATTTGGAATGTGATAAGTATTGATGGGTCTGATTCTAAGACCCGGGTTAGAAATATTTGTTGTGTGCATAATATTCATATGCTTGTTTTACTCGAACCTTTTATCTCTGCTGATAAAATTGCTAGTAGTACTTCTCTCTTGGGTTTTAATAAGAATTTTGCTAATTGCTCTGACAAGATTTGGATTTTCTGGAATAACATTTTTAATGTTGATATCATATCCTATTTTGCTCAAGTTGTTAATGTCCAAATTTATGAGATTAATGTTGATTACAGTGCCTCATTTGTGTATGATGCCTACACTAGATTGGGTCGTATTCCTCTTTGGAATATTCTTACTGATTTTGCTCTTTCCTCTACCAAAACCTTTGTGTGTGGGTGGAGACTTCAACATTGTTTCTAATATGAATGAAAGATTAGGGGGTAATCCTCCTAATATTAATGCTATGGAAGATTTAAATAATTTGATTTCTAATTGTAATTTAAATGATATTGGGTTCACTGGTGGTTCCTTTACTTGGAACCATTCCACTATGTGGCAGAGATTGGATAGGATTCTCTTTAATAATGAGTGGATAAGAGAGTTCCCTATGTCTCATGTTCAACACTTGAGTAGAAATTTATCTAATCATTCCCCCTTGCTTTTAACTATTGCTGCGAATAAAAATTATACTCAAACTGCTTTTAGATTTCAAAATATGTGGCTTTCTCATTTTGATTTTATCAATGTTATTTCTAACAATTGGAATGCTATAATTTCTCTCGATAATAACATAAGAGGCATGTACCGGTTGTGGATGAAATTGAGTAGACTTAAGCAAGTCCTCAGATGGTGGAATAAAAATGTTTTCAAAAACCAGTTTTCTTATATTAAGGCTGCTGAGGATAAAGTTTTGGCTTTAGATGAGATGTTTGTTTCTAATCCTATTAGTGAGAATCTTTCTTCCATGGATCAAGCTAAAATTGATCTATTTCAGTTAAATAATAAAGAAGTTTATTGGAAACAAAAAGCTTCGGCTAAGTGCGTTTTGGAGGGTGATGGGAACACCTCTTTTTTTCATGATATGGCTAATAGGAACAAAACTAGAAGTCATATTCACAGTATTACTGATATGCAGGGTTGTTTTTTTGATACTAAAGATTTGATTGCTAATTCTGATGTTGATCTTTTTAAAAAGTTTTTAATAACATTCATGTTGCTACTCCTATTTCTAATCTGAATGTTATTCCATGTATGGTTAATGAGAGTGATAATATAATGCTTACCAAGCTCCCTACGGATGAGGCAATTTGGAATATTTTGAGTACTATGAATGGGGACTCAGTTGTCGGTCCTGATGGATTTACCACTAAATTTTTTATTAAGACTTGGGATATTATCAAATGTGATGTGATGGATGCTATTAGGGATTTTTTCCATGGTAATTCCTATCCTAAATTTTTTTCTTCTACGAATATTGTTCTTATTCCTAAGAGAGATTCTATCACTGATTGGAATGATTTTAGACCTATTACCCTTTGCTCCTTTTTTAATAAACTTGTTTCTAAAATCATTTTTTCCAGGTTAATGAACATCCTTCCGAGAATCATCTCTTTCAACCAAAAGGGGGTTTGTGAAAGGTAGGAGTATCTTTGATAATATCCTTTTAGCTCAAGAGTTGGTTCATGATATTAATGCTAAAATCTCTTGTGGGAATCTCATTTTGAAGCTTGACATTACTAAAGCCTATGACAACTTGAATTGGAATTTTCTTTATGAAATTCTTTATCTTTTTGGCTTTAAGCAACCATTCATTAGACTTATTAAGAATAGTATTGAAAACTAATATTTCTCTGTTATTATCAATGGCTGTAATCATGGTTTTTTTAAATCTGAGCATGGTTTGAGACAAGGAGACCCTCTTTCTCCTGTTCTTTTTATAATTGCCATGCAATATTTATCTAGGGGTTTGGATCATCTCTTTGCTAGACATCCTATGCTTTATTATCGTAACACTGCTGCTTTTCCTATCACCCATCTTAGTTTTGCTGACGACTTCATTATTTTCTCCAATACTTCCATTAAAAATGTCAAAGTTTTATTCCAATTTCTTGCTAATTTTCAATGCATGAGTGGATTGTCTATTAATAATGATAAAAGCAATTTTATTGTGAGTAAATTTGTGAATCGGTTTAGAAGCAATGGGATTAAAAGAGTTTGTGGTTTTAATTCTACTTCTCTTCCGATTAAGTATATAGACACTCCCCTTTATAGAGGTAGGGAAAAAAATTAATTGTTTGATAATATTTTTTCTATGATACAAAAGAGAATTCTTAATTGGTCTTCTAATTTCCTTTCTTTTGGTGGTAGATTGGTTTTTATGAAAAGTGTTCTAAATTCTATTCCTATTTTTATATTTCATACTTTACAACCTTCCTCCACGATCTGTACTAGAATGGAACGCATACTTAATAAGTTTTTTTGGGGCTCTAAAAACAACAAATCTTGTATTAATTGGACTTCTTGAAACAAAGTTTGTGGTGCTTTTAATGAAGGTTCTTTGGGTTGTAAAAACCATTGGGACACTGTGAAAGCTTTTTCTCACAAACTGTAGTTTTCTTTTCATTCCAATAGTAGTTTGTGGGCTAACTTTATGAATGCCAAATATTGCAAAGATCTTAACCCTCTGGTTTGTCATTATAAAAATTCAGATTCCAATGGTTGGAAAAGATTATGCAATATTATATGGGTTGCGGAGCAGTTGGGAAAGGTGACATTAGGATAATTGATTGGGTACTTCTTCGATTGATAATCTTTTTAATCTTTTTAATACCAATACTTTTTCCAATATTAAAGTTAAAGATTTTTTTCACAATGGTAATTGGAATGTCAGTAAATTATTACAAATTCTTCCTCCTGATATTGTGGATACTATCATTCAAATTCCTTTAAATTTGCAGTGTAAGGACAAAATTCTGTTTGCTTTATCTTCTAATGGTTATTTTAGATTGAAGAAGGTGTGGAAAGATGATAGCTCAAAAAGTTTGGTACTATTTCCTTAACATTGTTGATAAAGATACTAGATTAAATATTTGTGATGTTTGGGGTATGCTTAATCTTTGGAATATCACAAGAAAGGTCACATTTTTAACCTTCTTCCTATTTTAATCATGTGGTATCTTTGGAAAGCTAAGAATGATTCGAAACATAATGAGATAAAAATGGATGCTCATCATATCATTTCCAACGTTAGAATTAAAATTATTCAGCTTCACTCTGTTAATCTTCTTACTGCCAAGAACTTTAAAAATTCCAGTAATATTGCTATGCTTTTTGGCCTTCATTTTGATGGTGTTTCGCATGTTACTAATGATCATATTGTGAGATGGCTCAAGCCTTCATATCCCTATGTGAAACTCAACACTGATGGGTCGGTTAGGACTCAAGTTGCGGGCATGGGTGGGGATTATAAGAAATCAGCAAGGGGAGTTAATCTATGCCTTTGCCGATCATCTTCCTTTATGCTCGATAATCTCTGCGGAGCTTTTGGCTTTGTTAAATGGTATTAATCTGTGTCAAAGATATGGTATGGGGCAGGTTCATATCGAAAATTGATGCTAAAATGGTTATTTATATCATTCAAAAGGTGGGGGAACGATACCCTCAAAACTTTTATACCATTAGAAAAATTAGGCATATTCTCTCTAATTTGAACTACTCTCTTTCTCATATTTACTGGGAGGGCAATGCTTGTTTGGATTGGCTGGCTAATTATGGTAGTAACCTTCAAACTATGCAGAAATTTAACTTAACTGGTATTCCCCCTCACCTCAGAGGTCTGATCATTTTAGATAAATGTGGTTTACCTTATATTCATGATCATTGATCCTGCTGGGTTTGTTTTTCTGGTAAGTTCTGCTTTGGTCCCTTTTTCTTTCATGTATTTTTGTTGTTTTAGTTTTATGTCATAGATTTCTCTACATGTTGATTGCTTCTTCTCTTGCTGCTTCTACTGGGTTGAACTGCATCAATATTCTTATTTTTGTTGGATTGTGGTCTGCTTTGAGGTTCACATTGATGTGTGTTTTTCTATCATCAGTGTGGTATTTCATCTGGTGCAGTTTTCTTTTCCTAATGTTAGCTGGCTGTGCCTGCTAGATGGGGTTTCCTTGGTAACTCTCCAGATTTTGATTAGCTGTTATAGTTTATGGGAGAATGCCACCATCTTGTTTCTTATTTTCCTAGGCTGTATTTCTGAGTATCACCCCAATTTAATTCAGTTGTTTGTGATGAGGGCTTCTATGAATGGTGGTGTGCTAATTTTTTGGCAGCAGATTTC